AGATTGCGCTATTAAGCGATAAAATGGGAGCGGAAACAATCACGAAGCAAGAACTCAACCCTCTGAAGTCACGCCACTACGGCGGCGCTGTCCTCGGTCTTGCGCTAGCGCACATGCTTTACTTCTCCCGAATCTGGTTTCTCCGCACATGCACAGCGCACACCCGGTGTGTGCAAAGCGGGTTGCTTTGTCAACACTGTGTAGGTGTTATAGAAGCGAAGTGACGGCTGGACAACCCTAGATAGCGGAAAACGTAATTTTCAAGAAGGGGAAAATGCAGTCTTTGAAAAAACAAGAAAATTGTATAGGCTGTTTTTTTTATTGATAAATGGCATTACTTTGTGTGTAGCGAGGACTTTAAGATCAGCTAAAACTTAAGAAGCACGGGGTCCTTTTGTCTCCGTTGTTCGTTCATCCGCATCACCTGACAACCCAATCTTATTGGCTGCGCAGCGATAATTAGATACAGGGGACTAGCGACGCCCTGTTTTCCTTAAGTTGTCAGTAAGTTTAATTGTATCTACTTTCATCGGCACTCATGGTCAGTTTGATGGTGAGCCCAGAATGAGGCAGTTCTTATTTTCTTTAAGACGTCTCTGTTGCCTTTGAGATTAGTGATAAACTTCGATATATATTCTATGGGATGACATTTATTGTTACGGGTCGGTGTTTATTGAAAATTGTGAGGGTTCTTTAAATTTTGAGTTGACAGTCCGTTTCCCCATCTTCTTGTGGCCGCAATTATTTTTTTTTTTTAATAAACATACAGCGGGTTGGTAATTATGGTTTGAAAAACACGAATTAATGAAAGATGTAGAAACGAAGACAGACAGCACAATTCTTCAAACTAGCCACCGACATTTAATGATGCCACCCTGAATGCGACAGCCCTTCCTTTCTCTGAACCGAAAATCTATCTGAAGAAAAAAAGAAAACCATCGGAAAATAGAATAAATAACCCGAAAGAAAGGGGAGTCCGTTAAAAAAGAAGACAATAAGAACATAAAATAATTTTTAAGGTAAGGTTTCTGTTGAGGATTGAGGGTGGCATCTTTAAATTTCGTCTGCTAGTTGAAACAACTCTACTGTCTGTCTTCGTCCTTACATGTTGTATTGTTTTGTGGTTTTCAAGTAAATATTGTTCTCCGATTCTACCCAGATTGGAGAAACGCATGTAGAAAACATGCCGGTGCTTTTGTAACACTTTTCGTGCTTAAGTCTTTGCTGTAACCGCTCCTTGTTGCAACAAAAAACAAATCTGCCAATGTTAAACAACAAAAAAATACAATAAAAAGAACACAGACGTCAGACGTGAACGCCAGCACAAAAACGGAGGGGAGACAGTAGAGTCCAAGAAACCAGAAGTGAACAAAAATATAATGATAAAAGAAGAAGCATCGACCGACGATGCAAACGGTTTGGAAGCATCGTCCATTCGGATGACCTTAGCTTTCTGGACGAGTTTTACGAGACCTGACCGGATGAGGAGGCTTTTAGCCGGCGCCGACCGGGAACGACACACGACGACTCGAAGAAACGCGCGGAATGAAAGCTTAACTGACCCGAACTTCCCTGAAAGTACTTGTCCTTCGCCAAGACCAAGTGTATATTCTACAATGCTGTTGCCCCGTGTTTTATCGATTATGATCCTCGATCTATCTACATTTGGAGAATTCTGGAGCATCCGCTTTCCCCCAAAGCCCATGCGACAGAAAATTGCTGCAATCTACGAGTGTAGATGGGCTGAAACTAGGAGCCACCAATTTGTCTCAAATTAGTTCAATAACAGGATAGACACATCTAAAGTAGTAACCTTAGCTAGAAGTCGCAATACTTTTTTTTTGTTTGGTTTTCTTACAAACTTGTAGGCATCTTGCACCTGACGTCACTTCCAGTTAGACTCGAAATTGAAACGAACATTGTTGTCTGCTCTCAGTGCCTTGGCGCCATGTTGGAGGCATTCAGGGTCTTATTGTGGAATCAGTAGTGCCGTGGAGTCATAGAGCCGTCTTTGTATAACCAGATTTCACCATATATTGTTGTCCTAGGCAATCGCAAAGAGGTTCCTCACTTGACACGAAGTGCAATCCACAAGCCCTTAGTTGGGTAGGAAGCTTTTCTGTCGAGATCTTAGAGTTAATATAATAAACTATCGGGTGTCTGAAATAGCGGCCAGGCTCTGTCAATCGACCGCAAAATTCGGTTTCTTAACCTATCGTGCTACGATTTTGAGCCGCGTTGCCCACAGGTGGTGCATTGTTTTCTATAAAATTTGCAAAGAGCGAACTTACCCCCCACCCCGAAAAAAAAAGAAGTAAATAAAGAAAAAGGCTTAACTTTGATGGAAACACAGCGAAGCCAATCAAGCGGTCTTCAATCAATAGGGCGCACTATTGTTTGAAGACTGCCGAATCGTAGCGTTTCCGTAGAAGTTAAGCCTTTTTTTTTTTTTACTTTTTCCTCGGGTAAGTTTTTTCTTTGCAAATTTTATAGAAAAAATGCAAAACCTGTGGGCAACGCTCCGAAAAATTGTAGCGCGATAGGCTAAGAAATCAAACTTTGCTGTCGATTTAAAGAGCTCGGCCGATGCTTGAGACTCCCGGTAGAGTAAATGGTCCCATGCCATTGGCCGCTTCTGAACGGCGGGGCATAGACGCGGACAATAGCGGTCCTAGTTGGCGGTCCCGCTGAACCCACATTGCTGGCGACGCCTTAATATGCGCAAAGAAGCAGCAAAACGTCACCTGAAACATCTGCATCTTGTTATTTTCTCTCTTACTGTGCAGGAAAACATCGGAATCGCACGTCAAAAAAACTAAATAAAATCGACAAGCGCTCGAGCGGCTTCAACATGTCGCGGCAAAACGAACAAGCGTAACCCCTCGTCTGCATTCTTTCTCCACTCATTCGTTTTCTTTCCCGTTCTTTCTCTCGGGACCGGAGACGTTAACTCATAGGATTTTCTGCGTTCTGCTCCCGCCTTTACCCGCGAGTTCGACAATGTGCCGGCGCATCCGTCGAAGCTGTTCATGACGCCGGCGAACCGATTGCTGGAGCGTCCCCTTGTCCTAGTACGTAATGATTGCCGGAATCATTGGAAAAGCAATACTGCTGACCGTAGTTTCAATTCGTCACCGACTTTTACGGCCCGAACCCATTAATTACGGCGCAACTGACCATTTTAAGCCTTGAGCGAGAGGACAAACTACAGTGTGAACAGGGCTCCAAAGCACAGAAAACATAGCACAACAGCGACGTATGACTCCAAAATGGATTCCGGCGGGTTCCGGTTAGATTTACGATCCGGTAATAGCGGTGCATCCTGGTCTCGTGCAAGGATCCAATTGATGTTTAAAATCTCGTTTTATAGGCTGAGAAGCTCTACTGGCAACACTGAAAACGTGACGTCAGATGTATTACGGAGAAAACTGGGCAGTATACAGTCTGTCGCGTAAGGTTACAAAACGGTTGATGGTGACAAATGAAAGCTGGTTCAACTGACGTCAGCAAGACGAGAAACAAAAAGCACATAGGCAAAGAACTTTTTTGTTTGTTTTAGTTTGCCTGCGCGACTTGCAAGTTATGCCACGTGTGACGTGCCCCTAATAAAGAGTGCGGGAAAAGTTTAATTTTTTTTTAATCGCCATAAATTTCTGCTTTTTCTATGGTTCTTTTGAATATAGAAGAAAATAAATATCGTAAGGGTAAAGCATAGGCGTTCCAAAAATGTGTTTATTCTCGGTAGTTCATGAGACGCCGAGCCTGGTGCCTTGGTGCTTATTGTAATGTATTTTTATTGTTTCCTTTACAAGCGTATCCTTGTTGAGTTCCTAAGATGTAGTTCGTATATGTATACGTCCTTGTGCATCAACTGGTTTGAAACCCCTCCTGCCACAACCTCCAAAAGGAGGCTAGCAGTATGTATAAACAATAAATAAATAAAAATGGCTCAGCGTCATACCTACTGTAACAGCGTAAATTGTTTATTTAGGCCCAAAATTATGTTCAGCCCGTCAGTCGCCAAGCTAGCTTCGTAGATTGAAGTGATTGACTCTTCCACGCGCTACGCGGGAAAGTAGAGAGTCCAGGTTTCTAAGGGTGTAGGCTAGATGAAGCAGAGTGTCGATCCTTGTTATATTCATGGAGAGGTTTGTTCATAATTATGTTAATATCGTTTGGATACAAAATCGCTCTCGCGACATGTATTTATAAATATTAAAGGCCTTCTACTCGTGTTTCCTCGTACGTATCTTTTTTTCATATGTTTTTTGCAGCCACAGGCGGCTTAAAAAACAAGGGGTGTGGAGTTTACAGAGAATCTTATGTTCCATAGCACACGAGAGAGCAAGATAGCAGTATTTGCATATAAGAGCGCCGAATCAAAAGCAAGACTTATTGGAGATCCAAGCGCTTTTACTGAATACGTATTGCGTCATTCACTACAGAAAAAAACTCGGCTATTGTTAGACAAGTAATTATTGAATATGTTATGGTATTTCGCTGGTGTACCTGGTCCCAGACAAGCTGTCTTTGCTTTGGTGGGCCTTCAGTTACTAATATAGGAAATTCAGCAGTACGGTGTTGTTGTCTAACAGATGTTGGCTGACCCTCGCTAGCTGACGTAAACGATCTAGCACTACAGCCTTTTTAACTAGGTGCTGGCCTCCCGTAGGTGCCGCAGAAAATCTAGCACTACGGCCTTGTTATTTTTGCGAGGTAGGTTGGATTCTGGTAGGCGACATAAAAAATCCAGCACTGTGGCCTTGTTATCTAACAGGTACTAGCTGGCCTTTAGTAGATGACGTAAAAAATACAGCACCATGGTCTTGTCTAGGAGGTGTTGGTAGACCTGCTGCAACAGATGTGAAATACGCAGCAATACGGCCTTGTTATTTAGAAGGAGGTGGCTCGCCTCCGACCAGTGACGTAGAAAATACAGCGCTAGGACTTGTTCTCTAAAATATATTGACTCGTGTTCCTCGCTCTGTTTCCCTTCGCAGACCATGCACCGAGCTCGTTCTATGCCGGTCCCATCCACGCTGAGGTCCCCTTGGCTCCTGCTCCTGGTCCTGCTCGGAGCTCGCGGCAGCGAGGCCTACTTCACCAAGGACAGCGACGACTACCGGACTGTCGCCGCCGCTGCAGGCGCCGGCGGAGCGCTCCAGGCGGCTCAGACGCCCGCCCAGCGGAGCCAGCTGCCCCCGGACCTGGAGGAGTACGCCAACCTGATGCTCCTGCTCAGGGAGTACCTGATAAAGGAGGCGGCGAGGTACCAGGACCAGGCGGCCGGCAAGACGCGCTACGGGGATCCCGTAGAGGCTCAGAACATCGTCAGCAAACGAGGAGGTGGGAACCTTTCGATGCACTCGAAGTAGCACGAAGTGGAGTGCGGTACATCATTGGTGCTACTGAGGTTGAATACCCCCGTAGGACCACCAATGTCCTATGATCAACTCTGCTTCCACTTAGGCATCAATTTGAATCCTTGGTCAAACTGCTAATACATGAAACAAAAGACAGCCTGCAGGCAATGTCTGACGCGTGTTTCTTCTTGTATGGTGGTCCTGTCACATTTGTGAAAAACAAGGCTGCAGATGATCATGTTTGAGGTGTGTCCGCAGATACTTTTAGAGCGCAGCTCTTAGGCAGAGCCGTATATTACTAAAGATTGGCCAGTCTATATGATCTCGCCGCAGTAAAACGCCCTCCTCTCGAGTGAGCCAATCAACCCGCTGCACAGAGTGAGAAACGGGAGCGCATTCGCATGAACTCCCGGCTGCTCCCAGGTGAGCGATTAGGGCCGCAATTCTGACAAAATTGCACAAAGATCCCTATGGCATATCATCGTATTGAAATCGTTCCTTGCGAATAGAAGCGTCTCTGCCACTGTGCATGTAATTCACTTCTCAAACACACTTCTCTCCATAGGTCTTTTACAAATGATATTGTTGTTCCTTCGTATTTAAAGACAGGAAATAGTTTTTCAATGCCACCAAGCACCGGAGCCGCGTCTGGTGGAGGTGCCAGGATGTGCGCTTCTTTCGCGGGTTTGTGGAAAATAAAATCTTGGTATTTAATAAACGTCGTTATAAAACTATTCGTCACCAGAGAATTTAGTCCGAATCACCATCCATGAAACGTTCAAGAAGAAACTGCTCATTTCGTGGATCGAAATAGCGACCACCCGAGGAGCTTGACGCCACATTCTCACGTTCCAGTGACATTAATTACGACCGGCTTCCCGGCTGCGCAACTGGTCGTAAGCAGTCAAAGGGAGCTTAAAATCCGGATATGGCACAGTTGGTTGTAGTCAAGCGCCAGTTTGTGGAACCAGTCTTTAGCGGCGAGACATCGGCCGCCGCCAGGCTTTAGTTTTTCTTACTTTTACCCTGGCGGCGCTTGGCAGCTCTGCTGAGGGCGTTGGGAGGAATGAGGACGATATAAAAATCCGGCCAAGGCTCGGTAGATTTTTTGTTTCGAAGAAAGTTTTGGATTTGAGGGAACATTGGTTGTGAGATCAAGAAGTTTGGGCTATCCTTCGCGTCGCTCACTAAAGTATGCAGCATGTCATCCTTTTTTCCTTAACATTTTTAAAATGTGTTTGAGATACATTTAGCTGAACGCTCATAAGAAAGCAAACCGGACAAAAAAGTGACGCGGAGAAAGACCCTGTCGCAAGCGCTGAGCTAAGCAGATGCCGATTGCGCGATCAGGATAGAGGCGAGCACTCCTGATTTCCGTGATTGATGAGAGGAAAAGAAAGAAAGTTTCAGTTTGATGTCATCCAAAAAGTCAAGGAGTGCATCATTTTGCTATCTTCGTCAACAATCGCGTAAAGGTTTTAGATGACACTTTCGAAATTAATTTTTCTCTAGAAATACGCACTTCCCAATTATAAAGTACTGAGGGCGGCCCCTGGCAAACACTTTCAGTCGTTGGGAACCATAGAAAACAATGTATTTTGATACTGGGGCTGTCAGTCGGCATTTAAACTGACCGCACGCCGGACTTGCGCCCGTTACTTCAAAAAGTAATTGATTATAGTTACAATTACTTGACCTAGAAATTAATGAATTAACGATACCAATTACTCCCTGTAAAAAGTAATCGATTAATTACTTCGTTACTTTGCTCGATCACTTTTGCGTTACTCCAAAGAAACACGAAAACGACACACTATATGCTGCGAGTTTGAAGGGAAACTTTCGGTCCCCATCTATATTAAAACAAAAATGCAACACATTCAGTGCTATGCACGCATAATTTTAGGAGAACGGATCTATAAAATTATAAAGGACTTAAACAGGTGCTCAAGATAAAGGAGCCTTGCGCTGTACACAACTGTGACAGGACTAAACCCCATGAAAATGCGACGAATGCACTTGGGCGGTGGGGGCACGCACACCATTCGAATTAATCCTAGTTTTGAATCGGCGAGCTTAAAAACACTATTCCCCTGAATATATGGTTTTTCTATGTTTGCTGCATGTTGCCTAAATAGGGGTTGGTTTACCTACTAAATCGGACTGGCTGTGCGACCAAGATGCGGTACTTGCCTCTGGGTACATTTCAAAGACTCCTATTTGATGACGGCTGTTATCCGACTAAATAACCCACTTGATCTTCTTTCTTGATCACCAAACTTATCAGAGCCAAGACGTCACACAAAATATTAACGTACAATCTCTCAGCTTAAATGAATTTTCCACTTATAAATTATTTAAAAAAGCACAATTTTCAGTGAACAGCACGCTTACAAGTTTTTCACGCGTTTACAGGCGGCTTCTCAACTCCAGTGCCCAAGTCACCCACTGTTTATTCTCCCTTTCCCTAAAATTTCGGTTTAAGTTCCCGCAGGCGCAATCCGTTGACGAGGACCCCAGCTAAGATGACCCAAGCCGTTTTGTTGTGCTCTCCGACCAGCTTATTACCTGCTGTCGAAAGCTACTGTTTAAACTGGGAGCAGGGTTGACGCTAACTTTCTTGTTGTTCCAATGAACTGCTGCCATCGCACCCCTCATGTTTGTTCCCTATGCATCGGCTAATGCGAAGTCAAGTGAAAGAAGCCACGTAGCTGGTTGATCCAGACAGTATTTAGCTTTCACAGCGCTGTCAAGGTTGAATAGGGGCGAGGTCTCATTAGAGCTTTTTTTTTCGTGTTTGCCGGAAACAAAAAGGGGGAGGGGCATGTGTAGGCCACAACATTGACAAGCAAAGGACGATTTCGTGTAACAAAAACAAGCAAAAACAATAAAAATCCACTGATTGACTTTTGGTGACAAAACTCAGAGGGGTGGGGAAGAAAGGAGGAGGCGAGAGGGGGGAGGGGAGCGGACGCATACACCACGGTCACAGTGTTGTGACCGTGGTGCATACGAACCCTACGCGACGGTTTTATGGCCCATTAGTTTTCTGCTCTTTTGTGCGGCAGAAGCAGTCTCTTTGTTTTCCGAACTTCCAGGCCTGTTGCCTTCATGTGGACAGTCAAATCCACCCAGCTTGGCTGACCGTACGAACGAGTCTCGAAATAGACTCTGGCTGGGCTCTTGCGCTTTCCGTGAATTCCTATCCTTTCCTACCTCAGCACCTCACCCGAGTCTTGTGTTAGCATGCAAAAGCGCGAAGGCCCTTGCATCGCCCTTCTTCCACTCTTTTTCTCTACTTGATGGGACGGAAGAATTGTAACGAGTAATTTCAGTAATTCGTTACTAAAAAAGCAATGAGATTACATTACAAATTACATTTTCAAAAAAAGTAACGGATTAATTACTAAATTACAAGAAAAGTAATTTTACAAGTAATCTCGTTACTTGTAATTGATTACTTCCAAGTCTGCCGCACGCTTGAAGTGCTGATGTTGGAAAGCGTTGAATGCGCAGCAGTCTCGAAACTTATCTGTGCCATGTCAGCTGTGTCTTACCTCAGGTTGAGTGCGATGCTGGCAGCGGCCGAACCATGAACTTCGCGAACTAGCGCACAATAAAAGAGCAAATGCAAGGGAGGCCACTCACACATGACCGAAACTGTAGCTGGAGCGGTGGAATCGCAGAAATATTGCCTGCCGCGCCTCCTAATATAATCGCCAACCCATTGATTAACGATGCATAGCTGACATCGAAATCCTCAAATATTGGGTTGATCATTTAGCAGGCATTTGGCATTTCTTCTTACAGCTGCAAACGAACCGAAACATTCAGATTAAATGTTATCACAGATTCAGAGAGCCATACAAAAACTTAGAATTATGACGATCCCTTCTGTACGGTCGAGCGAGAGAGCAGCGATGTACCTAGATTGCCCGAAAAAACAAAATTCCTGCTGTGTCCCCAGACGAGCCGCGATTTATGCACTTGGCGTAGCGACTTCCCCCGCTTGGGCTGTTCCGTCGCGTGCTGCGTCACGAGGTCGCTGGTGCGGCTACCTCAGCAAAAGCGCTTCTCATGAAATAATACACAATCAGCGTGTTTAATATTAGAACATATTCCAAAAGTAATCGCTTGAAAGCCTACGTTTTGCCAAGAAACTCAGCCCCGCAGAAGGTCTTATGGAATCTTCCGGGACGTTTCTTTGCTATAGTCTTCCTCACTGCGTCAATTACCTTTGTAATTTGTTTTAAATGTACCTAGCATATCATTTGGGTGTAGCGTAATATTCCGAGAGTGATCCTAGATCCCATAAATGGAGCTTACAACTTTTATGAAATATTTTGTTAAAGAGGTACAGAAAGCTAGCCCGCCGGAAGAAATCGAGATACTTATTTAATTGATTTCTGCTATCGGAGCAATATTTTGAGTTACGGCAACATACTCGCACACTCATCGAGTACTTGAGATAGGAGTGCATAAGGAAAAGTATCCCCCTACCTGGTTTTACAATATTATTCTCTCATCATGTATAATTTTACGTCGAACACCTTTGGGCTGTCTTATCTCCAGAGAGATTAGAAGCGTTTCAAAACTCCTAAACACCATCAATAATCATTACGCCTAGCAGCGAAGAGCGCATTGTTAATAACCAAGTGTAGTAGACTCGACTGACCTAATTAACTGAATAGATACGAAGCCCCACGAATATTTTCCTTGCGGTTCACTTTCCCCAAAGAGCTATTTAAAAGCGGAAAATATCTCACGCGCTGAATGCTTCGCCAGAGCAGCCACTCAAGTTGTGCTCAAGGCGGCGTGAGCACACCTCCATGTTGTCGAAGAAAAGTGCGCTCTTTTCTGAACCGACATCGGTGTAGGGGTTACACCCGAGCAAGACCAATCAGTCGTCTGGCGATTGGTAAAGGGCAAATTGCGGCTGTGCGCAGTCCCGTGGTGTGAACAAGTAAATTTGATTGGTCGATG